ATCTGAAAATGAAAGATAGACCTCCATTCTTCTGCGGGGTTGATTTGCTCTTTATTTGTTACTTTTCCATCTGTGAAAACAGACAGAAGTAAGAAAAAGAACAAGCTAACAGAAAGAGAGAGGGTAAATGTCTGGTGGCAATTTGAAGATGGTTCAGGCCGTTATTGACCCCGTAGATCAGTAGACCTCCAGACATCAGACGGGTTAACCTGTCCCCGCTGCCTCCATCTGCCTGGTAATGGAAGTCTCTGCGTCCTAAAACAAGTTTCTTCCCTCTAACTTCCTCACATAAATGCTTTGAAGTGTGTGAATGCAATGAAATGTATCTGTGATTGTGCCTGAGTGGCATCTGTGTCTATACAGTACCATGGATGCACCCAAAAAATGCAGTTTTTAGCTTGGCAGCTCACAAGGTTTTCAGACACAGCGAAAGAAAGTTTGCTTTTGGAGGCACAATTATGCTCGAAATCTAATTCAACCTGAAAATGGAGCTGACACTTTGCACTAGATTTTGGTTGTATCACATTTGGATTACAGCTCGCTGTGGACCTTCAGAGATGGTGTGAAAAAGAGAGAAGAAGTGAAAAAGAACTAATGAGAGCAGCCATTTTAGCGAGAGAGTCACTTTAGCGTGTATTTGCACGCAGCTCAGAGGCTTTGCTGGATGAACTGCATCTGCTCGAGAAAATCAAACACACTCCCCTGTGGAAACAGAAAGAGGAGTGTCTGCAATGCTTTACTTTGTGCTCAGATCCCTCCTTTTTCACAAATTGGTGTTATATGTTTTGAGTGTGTATTTGTTCGTGAGAGAGAGAGAGAGAGAGATGGAAACAGGTGAAAGCACAGCCTTGTACTACGGTGTAATGCTAAAAAAAGCAACATTAATTAAAGAACTTGTTTTGTGAGGAATCAAATTTTAATTGATCTTTTGAGATAAAAGAGTTTTATGTACTACAAAAACATAATGTATCTTTCAAAACATCCTCTTCAGTACCAAAAGAGCGTTTACTTAAACAGAAAAAACAAATACATAAATAAATAATGGTTGATTAAAAAATATTGCAAGAATGAGAGAGTGAGTGGAAATCTGAATAACTAAACTAAAAGTTTGTCAGCAAGTTTTTACTGTAAGTAATCAACACTTTTTTTTGCAAGGACGCATTAAATTGATTAAAAGTGACAGTAAAGACAATTATAATGTTAATGTTTGCAATTAAATGCTGTACTTTTTAGCTTCGTCTTTTTATCAAAGAATCCTGGAAAAATGTATCATGAATCTCCACAAAAAAGACTGGAGTAAAATCAGCTTTGATCACATTACATTTTAAAATATATTCAAATAGAAAGCAGTTATTTTGAACTCTAATAATATTTCACAATATTACAGTTTTTTTTGTGTATTGTTGATCAAATAAATCTAGTCTTGGTGGGTATTAGATACTTGAACGGTAGCGTATTTTTCCCCCTCAATTATCATATTTAGTAGCAATTTCCTGTACCTTTATGTAAAAAAAATAAATAAATAATGTATGCCTTGTTATGCTATGGATTTTAACGGTTGAGTTGTCGTGATTTTTTCAGGGTCATGGTGCTGAAGCTTTCCAAATGTTAATAAGCTGATATTCTCTCTCTCTCTCTCTCTCTCTCTCTCTCTCTCTCTCTCTCTCTCTCTCTCTCTCTCTCTCTCTCTCTCTCTCTCTCTCTCTCTCTCTCTCTCTCTCTCTCTCTCTCTCTCTCTCTCTCTCTCTCTCTCTCTCTCTCTCTCTCTCTCTCTCTCTCTCTCTCTCTCTCTCTCTCTCACAAACTTACTTTCTCTGCCTTTGTCACACACACACACACACACACACACACACACACACACACACACACTTCCCAAACAACACAACGTGAGGCAAAAGCTCTTGCTAATGATGGTTCCTCTCAGCTCTAGTTGTACATGTTGCCTGATGGACTCAGTGTGTCCTAAAAAGCAGGAAACACTGCAGGTGATTTTACCCTGTGCTGTTAATTACCTCCCTTGACAAGCTCGGCGTGTAGCCGCTGTTTAGCCTTTGTCTTCTCACACACTCATGCATAAAACACTAAACAAGAGATTTTTCAGCTCAGACAGAATAAAGAATATGTTTTGACATCTCTTCTGAGAATTAACTGAAATATCCTCACCATGTAGTATCACACAGTGATCCATGGACATTATTTCAAACTTTTCTTGATAATCTTGGCTGAAAATGAAGGTTATGTGCAGTATTAGCGAGCATTCTTACAGTTTTTTTCAACTGCTTACACACAAAATCTTTACTTGTCACACAATTTCTGAAACACAAACACCAGAACCACACACTATCAATGCCTTATTCTGCATGACCATATTCTAGATCCCTTAATCTTAACCTAAACGTAACTACCGTATGCTCACTAACCACGCATAAACGTTCTTTTCTCTAAAACACAAACATGTGCATTCATGCTGCTCACATATTATTGTAGCCCAGTTTGTGCTGAATACAGTGTTATCAGTCTTTAGCCATTAATATGTTTTTAGATACTGAAAAAAACAATTGTCAGGGCATGTCAAAACTTCTCCAGGGCCCCAAAACACCCTCAGACCCCAGAGGGTTAATAAGCAGCAACTTAGGAGGTCATTGAGGCAAAAGTCACAGTTAACAGTTAGTTAATTTTGAAAATTGGACCTTAAAATAAAATGACAGAATTGACAAATGATAACAAAAAAATGTTAATCCTCTAAAAAACCATGAATTAACCATGAACAATAGTATATTTCTAAATTACCGTCAAAAAACTGAATTGTTCGTTACCTTACGCATCCACTAATGTTAACAAATTGGACCTTAATGTAAAGCATCAACAAATACATTGTCTAAATTAATTAAAGCTTGTATATACCAGTAAGAGTGTTGTACTATCAGCACATTTGACCATATTTTAATGCATTTCCACAGAGTCTGGGCCTGCTGAAGTTTCTGTGCTTTAGTATTTGTGAGTATTTGTAAGAAGCTGTGTAGCAATGTTCTAAGATACATAAAGACATAATTATGCAATAATTGTTATCAAACAATTATTCATTACAGGCTCAGGTATTACAGGCTCTTAAAGGTTTACAATGTACTTTGCAACTAGATATTACAATCACATGTAGAGTTAATGTGACTTAAAAAAAAGAGACTGTAGGAAGGACAAATTTAGACGTGCTTATGTTTCCTTTTTTTCAGATGTTTCACATGAGAGAGAGAGAAAAAAAAAACTCGCTAAAGAATATACTCAAAAGTTCAAGAATTGAATATGAACACAAACATAAAAAATTCTCATGTAAAGCTTTATATATATATTCTGACAGCACGTCAACATTTTTTTTTTTTTCTCTTTTTTCTTGCTCTGAAAGATCAACCAGCGAGCAATGATATTGCTTGATGTCCATAGATACATGGTAGATGAAGCTATTGTTAAATATTCCCATAAAATGAATGTAGCGTTTGAAGACGAGGCAGTGCGGCGAGGAACAAAACAAGGCACAAACCTGCACAAATTTAAAACATTTATTGCAGTAGCGGTATACCTGTAGAGCAGTAACAAGGAGTAACTGTTTAAATATCTATGATGGCAAACGTCCCCACAACCAACAAACATACTGCTGAAAGCAACTTACACCACTCTTGTCTCTTTTTGTATATTTTTTTTTGTACTTTAAATATTGTGATCCAACATAAAGGTGCTATACAAAATGAATGACCTCACTGCGTTACGAATCAATAATTGTCAACCGAATGAAAAAGAAGGTGAAACTAAGTCATTTAAAAGCTAGTTCTTCTTGTTAAGCATGCGGTTTCATTGTCTGAACTGGCTGCCATGCCATGTGACAAGAAGGGAAAAAGAACAGGCCAAACATTTAAAGGAAAAACAGAAATCAAACCAAAATCTCAGTCCTTGAACTATGCACATGCTCTTTTGATCACATTCTGTTCATTGTTTTTCTGTCTTTTAATATCCTCTCCAGTTTGAATGTGTATTTTTTATTTATTAATTTATTTTTTTCTCTGGAGCATATTGGCGCCTGACAAACATTTACTGTGTTTGGCATTCAGAGACAAGGGGCTGCTGCGCTTGTTCTCGTAAAACCTGTAGATCGGTACGATATGTAGCATATGTCATGAATTCACAGACATGAAAACTACACTCACTTCTCTTGCATGTCAAAAAAACATGGGCATACACGATATATTATGACAGAAAAAAAGGACTTTGTTTTCAAAGTTTGCAAATACTACTCTCAATTAAAGCACGAGTTCGATTAAACATGTACAAGAATGACATTTGAAATTAGATGTTGAGAATTTACAAATATATTGCTGTTGAATTGTAGCATCCTTCTTCTTTTTTGAGGAAAAGACATCAAGCTTTCCGTTTCAGTAAGTAGAAATTGAGCATTTACATCAATAATACAAAATAGCTTTGAAAAAAATATGTTTGTCAGGTTCATCGACTTAGTAAATGCAAAAATGGGGCAATTGTGCAATGTCATGACCGACTGACATTATTATCCGGGATTCGTTCGTTAAATCTCCGCTAGAGGGGGTGTGGGTGCGTGTTTACGTGTGCGTGTGTGTGTGTGTGTCTTTGCTTTACAGATCCAGACTGTGGTCCTCTGTTCCAGAAGACAATGACGTTAATGACAAAAGGCCGATAAAAACAACACATCCTGTACGATGAATAATAAAAGACAGCTGTCATGTTCACTGATCTATTCCATGTGATTATTACAAGTACATAAAACCAGTTAGTATTAAGTCCTATTTACAAACACTTCAACGATGACAGACTAAACGATTTCCACTAACAGTGTTATTAGCACAACGCTTTCTCGATTTGTAAATTCCATTTTCTCGGATGGTGCAGATTAATATAGTCTCAAAACAACCACGTCACAATATTTGTATATATTGGTCAGCTGTTACATTGTTTGTTTGTTTTTGGTTTTTTTTATGTTTTTTTTATAACCGTGATACATAGAGCACAGCCCTGTTTTGTTCATCTTGAACATTTGTTTGCAGTCTTTGTTCAAGACGAAGTATACAATGATTCCTTTTAATGTGAATTTGCAGCAAACCATGGGAGTTTAAGGGCAGCTATGGATTTGCACGAGAAGATCTCCGCAGACGGGCCGTCGGCGAGTCGGATTCGCATAGTATACTGTCCTGCACAAGCGATAAAGTCTAAGGTCTACTCCATACACGTAACTATCACACCGCATTAGCATCAATCTAAGAAAAAGAGGGGAAAAAAAGAGGAATGGACTAAAGCTATCAAAAGTTGCTGGGATGATCCAGACACAAAAAAACACTCTTAAAGCTGCTGTTCTTTAGGACTGTCGGGGCCGGAGGCGGGCTGGTAAGATTTCAGGCTGGCCAATGGGATGTCGGCCATGTGACCGCCGCCGCTGCCAAAATGTCCCTCTGAGCTCCCAAAGGTCTTCCTGTCTCCAAACTGCTCCTGGCTTCCTCGTTCACCCTTCCAGCTGTGGGTCAGGGTGTGGCCGTTCAGCAGTCTCTCTTTATCCCACTCCTTTTGGCTGTTGAAAGAGGAAACGGGGGACTTGGGCGAGGGGTACGAGCTCAGGCTCGGCGGCATCCAACAGTTGTCGGAGTGACCCAACACCAGACACTCTTGGGTGCACATCTCGGTGGCCTCCACTAAGCCTCTTGGTCCTAGAGGTCCATCTGAGGACACAAAGAGAACAGAATTACTTAGAATTATCTGTCAAGTTTATAACTTTCAAAGTATAGACCTGTGAGACAGACTGAACAAATATATGTAAAAATATACAAAATATAGTTAAGTCTTGCATCACCATCTAAGTTCCACAACACACGCTTTTAATTTAATTTCAATTAATTTAATTTAATTTTTATTTAATTTATAGCCTTTATTATTATTATTATTATTATTATTATTATTATTATTTACCCTGAATAAAGTCCATAATATGCCAGCACATCTTGAATAATATAGTATGAATAAAGTTCACATTGAAAGCAATGCCTAGGCAAATTGAAGTCATTCATTCATTCAATGTGAGTTTGCAGATTTTTATTTATATTTTTTGCAAGAATGAATGCAATTTGTACAAAGACGTTTTTTTACATTTTACATCATTCTCTTCCCAACCAGCCCAAAACAGACTGCATTAGAGGAAAATAGTTAGAAATTAGTATAATCATTACAAATAAATACTACAATAATTAAGAATCCAATAAATCAAACAATATATAATAAAATAAAATGTTACTCTGAAACTTTTAATTGCTGTCATTGTGAATACTCCCATGGAGCTTGCAGTTGTATACTCTCAGTTATATACCATTCATATATTTGACTTTGAATACAGTGGAAAAAACACTGACATTCCACCCACATCAGAACACAAAGTGCATTGTGGGAATCAATGTGGTATCATCAGCTCAACTGCATTGTCAAACATGATCAAGAAGATAATGAAGATAATCTCAAGGAATCATTTAGTATTTACACCATGCCCATCTGTGTATATATTTAATCCTTCTTGGACAGAACAAAGATAAAATCATAACTATTATAGTCCCACAATGTTATATGAAAAGAAACAAAAACTTCAATAAAGCTTCATTAAAGTTTTATGCAACACTGCATGCTATTTATAACACATTCTTGCAAACAAATGCCTCATGCTGAGAGATAACAGTCAAAGAAAGGAAACATCAATAAATCATGTGTATAGATAAAGCATCAGCATTTACAGAATATGTATTGTACATGGGTGTAGATTTGAATATTGACATCAGAAGTAGTGTGCCAAATATTAGTTATCCTACCCCAGTAAATTATCAATTTCATTATTATTATTATTATTATTATTATTATTATTATTATTAACCATCGTATTATTATTATTATTATTATTATTATTATTATTATTATTATTATTATTATTATTATTATTATTATTATTATTATTATTATTATTATTATTATTATTATTATTATTATTATTATTATTATTATTATTATTATTATTATTATTATTATTATTATTATTATTATTATTATTTACCATCGATTGATTGATTGATTGACCTATAGTATGGCCTCTACATTATATTATTATTGTTGTTGTTGTTTTTGTTGTTACTAATATTATTTACTACTAATATCATTTATTAATAGTATTGTTAATCATTAAATTAATCACCATTAATTTTACATAACAACATCAATAATAATAATAACGATGATGATGATGATGATGATTATAATAATAATTGTAATAAATTAATTGAATGATATTAATTCACTAAATTCATTAAGACAATAAAATTAAATAAAATATGAGAAAAGTGCCCAAATAGAGATGCTAATATTATTTTAAAAGATGAGAAAATTATTGACAAAATGTGGTCTTATAAGTATTGTAAAATATTGTAAAATATTGCTTGGTCCTTTCCAAATGACTGAACATAAGCTGATAACTGCCTTTTCAGGTGGAACAGACGATTTCACTGTTGTTGGGCAAAACATCTGGTCATCTTGAATGGTTTTAAAATGTCCCTAACAGTGTTAAAAGTAAACGTGTGCTCTTGTTTTTTTATAGCATTTGACTAGACTGTGTCTTGCGCTGTTATCACAGACCACTGGCTGCACTGTTCTCAGCTTCGCGCTCCCCACCAGCTGCTGAGTGATAAAATTTGGGACTAAAGTTGATTTGAAAGCAGCTTGATTTGCCTATTATAAAGTGGTGTGAGATTAACTCGAGCACCTCATCTCTACACAGAAGAGCTCTGGTTCAGCAACACACTGAATATCCTTTCATTTCCTTATGTCACTCACATCTGTCACACCAGCAATCAAACAAAAAGCTTCCCGAATACAAACCAACATTAAACACGTCATTACGATCTGCATTCAGGCAAAACACTTTCGTAATGCTGTAATATAATACGCTTCTGTTGAAAACACACTTTCATTTTAAAACCACTCTGCGAATCCTGGACACAAGGCATCTATTATTCATACGCTCTGTGTAATACTATACTGTTTGGAGCGCTAGGGTTTCAATTCTGCCTCTAATTTTCACCGTAACAACTAACATTTCTAACATTTCCTACAATGAACAAAGGCCTTTGAAAAATGCATCGTAGAGGGAGATCAGAGATCGATGATTCTTGTTTGCGAGAAACGTATGAAGCGTATATGAAAGACAGCCACATGCCGTAGCCGGACGGAGCCGATGAATAAATAAACGGGGAAAAGACGGGCATCTGATGAGGAAAAAAAGCCAAAGCGCCATGTTTCTACATAATTGGTGTGATAAGGCATAAGCGACTGCCAGAGTTACAGCGGGAAATGGAAGAATCACCAAAGCAAGATATATTTATGGCATCACTTTAAAATACATTGAGACAAAGGACAGATGACTAATAGCTTGATCAACATAATCAGAACACAGCGAGTTGCAACAAAAACAACTTTTTTTTTTTTCTTGGAAGACATGCCAACATTCTCAATGATTGCTGTTCTTGTTATTTCATTTAAGTATCAAACAAAGTTGGATTCTCTTGAACAGGGATTGAAATCAAAAGGTTTGAAAAAATCTAATCGAATTGAAAAAATGTTTAAAAATCGGGGGAGGTTGTGCAATATCTTTGATTCCAGTTGTGTTCAGTTCTATTTTAGTTCTATTCCAGTTCTATCAGTGGAGGACAGTAACAAAGTATTTGGACTTACTTAAAATACATCTTTAAAGTATCTGTACTTTATCAGACTTTTTATTTTGATGATCTTTTATCTAAAAGCATAATACACTGCTTTTCTTAAAACATGTTGGTTCTTATTATTTTGAACTGGAGAAACCATCACCCACTCCAAGACATGATTTATGAACGAGTTGATTCTTTTCAATTAACCTGTTATATCACTTCACAAATCACACACATTGGACTAATCGGATTGCAGCTGTTCTCGAATTAATGACTCATTGATTCAAATGATTCGGGCAGAGTGAGTCTCCTGTGAATTCACTCAATGTGTCTCATGGCGCGATTGATGGCGTGAGGAGTAAGTTCCTAAAAGCTGAATTTTAGGATTTATTATTGTAAATGAAAATCACATTTATGTTGATATACTGTCAGTTATTTATAAACTAAATCTGCTGTAAAAGGCTGAGCTGTTTGAAGCCACTTTATGAAATTCTTTACTGTGACCATGCCCACATTTGTGTATCACGCTCTCAAGGTATAAAATTAAATATAACATTAAAATAACACAAAATAATTCCTATGCATCCTCCTACTAAGCAGTTTTAGCTACTATGTTTGCATACCATATTCCGAAACAATGTATATTTTTTGCCCTATGTGACGTCTATTTATTTATTTTATTTTTTTTGTATGGCAAGCCCCCTTCCCCCAGATATTTTGAGCAGTAGGAATATATAAAACATATAAAATAAAAATATTAAATATAAATTAATGCAAGTTAAAATTACAAAATAAACATTCATCAAACAGTACTTTTTACTTTTAACACTTAAGTACATTAAAAATCAATTGTTTTGTATTTTTATTGGTTTCTATGGGTTCCATCAATACACCAGTACACTCTTAAAAAATAAAGGTGCTTCACGATGCCATAGAAGAACCTTTTTGTCTAAATGGTTCCATAAAGAACCTTTAACATCAGAAGGACCTTTCTGTTTCACAAAAGGTTCTTTGTGGCGAAAGCAGGTACTTCAGATTATAAAAAGGTAAAAAAAAGAGATGGTTATTTTAAGAACCTTTGACTGAATGTTTTTTTGTGGAACCAAAAATGGTTCTTCTATGACATCGCTGTCAAGAACCTTTTGAAGCACCTTTATTTTTAAGAGTGTAGGCGGCAACAAGTTAGCATCTTTTGTGTTAGTCATGAGTCTCTGAAGCACCAAATGATTCACAAATGAAACAGCACTAGTCAGAAAGGTTTTGTGAAGTGCTAACTGAAAATATCTGAATGATTAGCTCTTGAACTTCTTACATGAACTCTTATAAACACACCAAGGAGAGCTAGAGTGAATGTCAATATACTTTCTGTGAAGTTTTGGCTTGTTCCTCACAATAATCATATTGAAATGTCTATTAATATACTGTAGTGCACTAGTCATCGTGGTCAATTTTCATTTTTGGATGAACTATTTTAGCTTTTAGTAGTTCCTTTCAAAATATTGATTCATCCACATCTGCAGAAGAATACAGATATTTATGGATCCAAACATCATGAAAAACCCTCAGTGCCGTTTTTTTTTTTTTTTTATGGAAATAGAGCTAAAGAAGCAATTCTCCATGACAAACCGTCCCCTGGAGTTAATCTATTCCTAACATGGCAGCTCCATTCCTCTCGTCATCAGACTAATAACATGGGCCATTTGGTGCTTCAGCGTCCCATAAACCAGCGTTAGATTCAGCCCTCATCCCTCATCAGGACTAAAGCTCCATCCCTGCTCCCGAACGAGAGGCCAGAATCAATATTTCCATCACTCTGACATGTTTGTGTGAGTGTACGCAATGCAAATAATGGCACAAAGTCTGATTTACATCCATAATGTGTGATAAAAATGTGGAATAATGCTGCAACAATCACATCAGCAACAAATAATAATGAATCCACTATGCGCGCTGACGTTCAGAGACTTTTGTCACTTTTTTTTTCACAA